GAGAGTAAGGGGCCAGGCTCCAGGGAGAGAGAGGGGCCAGGCTCCCACAGAAAGAGAAGGAAGGAGAAGGCAGAGTAGAGATGGGGGAGGCAGGTGCAAGTGGCAGCAGCACCCCACAACCTCACACATACATTCCCTCATCCTGCATCCCCCCCACACCCAGCCCCGGGCACCTCTCTGTGTCAACAGCCTCCTCAGTACTCTCTGGGGGCGCCAGGGGTTCCAGGCTGGTCGGGCCCTGTGGAGGTGGGTCCCCCAGCTCCAATGGAGGGTCAGCACCTATAGGGGCCGAGAGGAAGAGCAAGGCTGGCTGGCAGGGTCCTATAGCCAGAGACCACTCTTAGGGCCTGGGTTTCCTCCGCAGGGTAAGAAAGAGCTAAAGCAGACAGACACCAGTGGACACTCCCTGCTTCGAGGAAGGGACAGGTGGGTGGAAAGACTCTGAGAACATGACCAACGGCATCAGGGGGCCAATTCTGACCTGGTTCTCGGTCTGGGCCGTCTCCAGTCATAGAGTTCACAGAGAGCCCGGTCTGTTCTTGTCCAGTGGAGGACCCGACATTCCGGTCCCGGGAAGGCCCCACCAGGCCTCCCTTCCGGTCTATGGAGCTTGGTTTCTCAGCTGAGGAGCAAGGGAGGGGGTATAATGAGAGTCCTGGGACACTGAGCTCCAAGTTACTGTACTGCGGCACTTTCCTTCCCCTCTCCCGGGTCCAGCAGTCTCTTACCCCCCACCTCCCCCAGACCCAGGAATCCAGGCCCCAGCCCCCTTCTCTCTCTAATCCCATAATTACCTTCAACCTCAACTTTAGGGTGTCGGAAATCTGGTACTGAAACAAGAGAAGGTAGAGTGGTGAGGTGAGGCTGAGTGGCATGGGGTGCCTGGGTGGACAGGTAGGGCCAGGGCTCCTCACCCTGGGAATCTCCCCGGTTCCAGCGGGCAGGATCCAGGATGCTGCTCAGCCCTTTCTTGGTCTTGGGAGGCTCATCTGACCGACGGTTCCCCATCACCTGTTGTAGGAAGGGAGGTATTTATGAGACTACCACAAAACCAAATTGGACCCTAGGTATCCAAGCTGCCAGGGCTCCCGCAGAATCCTGGTTTGGGGGCTCAGGGTTGCACCTTTATCCTGAAGAAGTTTCTCCCGGATTTCTTGTCCCCGCTCTTGGTCCGCACCCCCAGGTGGCGCATGTACAGGCTGATAGCGCTGACCACAGCAGCACTGTGAGAAGACACCCATGGACACAGAGATACACATTCAAACTCAAGCATTCACACAGACACGCATACACTACTGCCCCCTAGAGGCAGAGCCTGTGGCCTTACCATCTCAGTTCATTTCCCATCCCAACCCCATAACCCTCTCCCACTATCTGCTGGAAGAGGAGAGGGCTCAAGACCCCTAGAGTCCCAGACTCCAGACCCCAAACTTAAATGCCACTCCCCACCACCCCCTGTGCTTCCGTCACCTCTTTTCTTCATCGGTAGAGATCGTAGGTCTGTAGGGAGAAGAGACATGTTTGTGATGCAATTGGTACATCTGGGGTCCCAGCCCACCCACCACCAGTGTCCATGCTGCTGTGCCCTAAAAGATGAGAGACAGGACTATAAAAGGACCTAGGACAAGAAGAGGATGACAGGCAGGGGGAAACTCCAGCCACAACTAGGAAGAGCAGTCAGGAGGTGCTCAAATCCCACAGGGACGGGAGTTACAAGGTTAGGACCCAAGTACCTGGTGGGACACTAAGAGGGAAACCACAACGTGGAGGAAGATGCCTTAAAACCAGGATAAATGTAAATGCATTTATTAGGAATACTGGGAATCTAACAGGCAGATGAGGAGCCCCAAGCACTCAAAAGGGAACCCTGAAGTTGAAGAGGTGCCTGGGGCAGAGAATGGGGCGCTGAAAGGGAATTGGGGGAATGGGACACTCTGGGGCTGCCCCAAGGCTGGGGAAGGGGTGATGTTCTGTGTCAGGTCCTGTCCTACTCACTGCATCTCCTCGAGGTGGGACAGCAGCCGCTCCGCCACGTGCCGTTCCCGGGCCTCATAGGTGTTGCGGTCCCGCCCCACCCAGGCCTCCAACTGGGCCAGCTCCTGCTCCCAGGGAGTCATGCCCATGAGCCGCTTGGAACGGAAGTCCTCCAGCTGCCGGGTGACGGCCATCTGTTGGCTGTGCACCACCTCCTGCACAAACCGCCGCTGGAGATCCTCGGAGATGAGGTCAGGCCGCGTACGGTCTGTAAGGACACAGGGGCTTCGGGTCAGGTCCACAGTTCCTACTGCTCTGGGGTTCTGAGGCTGTGCCTACCAAGGACTGAGTGAATCTCTATAGCTGAGTGGGATCACGGGAGTGGTGGTATCCTCCTTGGGGGCCTCCCTGCTAGGAACCTCTCGCCCACCCCTCCCCTCCTTACCAAGTTCAAAGGCGACACTGGGAGGCACTGGAACCCTCAGAACCTGCTCAGGAGAGAGAATGCAGTGAGGATGGCCTGGCATTGACCAGAGGTACTGGGGGTGTGGGGGGTGAGGGGTGACTGTGTGGCCACAAGGTGCTGGGGAAAGACAGGTCCTTCAGGCTGTCCTCCACTGGGTGGGGTTGGGAACCGTGTAGAGGCTCTCGAGGGCCAAGGGGTGGGCAGGGACTGCACGGGGGTGACGGTGTCTCACCGCTGTCTTTTCCAGGAAGCTGTGGTAGAAGTCGAGGAAGGCCTTCTTGGCTTCCTTGGGGCCCAGGGTGCCCAGCATGTCCGAGTGTAGGCAGCAGAGCTAGGGAGATGCAGAGGATGGCCTCTCCTCCGTCCCACCCCGCCCTCCCACAAGTCCCTTTGGAAAGCCTGGGCCTGTTCTCAGCCTCCTGGCTGCCCCATGGCCAAGGCCTCTACAAGACACCTCTCTCAGGGCTTTCCTGAGGCTACGGTGAGCACCTTCTAATCATCTATCCTGTGGTTTGGTGCCTTGTGGTTCTACTTCCTCACACCTGCCACCACCACCACGGGCAGTACTGAGGGCTTGGTGTACACCAGGCACCATTCTAAAGCGTTTATGTGCTTTCCAGATCATTCTCAGTGACTACCATTCTCCCCATTTCATAGATGAGGAAACTGAGGTACACAAAGGTCAAGATGCATGCTGAAGGTGACACACCTAGTTACGTGGCAAAGTTGAGATTTGAATCCAGGTAGCCTATCTTCACTCCACTGTGGGCAACCTGAGGGCATGTGTGTATGGGGGGAGAGGGGAGCGGGTTCTAGTTCATCTGTGTTATAGACAGGTCCCAAAGCACAGTGAGGGCTTTGTCAATAAAACGCCTGTCCAACTGAGGCCCACTCATTCCTACATCAACAATTTCTTGAGGTTGCCCATTTGCCCACCTTGGACTAGGTAATACTGGCAACACAGTGGGGACTCTACCTCTCCTGGCTCCTGGGGGGTTCTCGTCTGGTAAGGGATGTGATCTCAAATGTGGCAAAAAGCTCATCTTACTAAGTGGGACTCAGTTTCTCTACCTGAAACAGGCTCAACACATTTATATCCAACCCCTCCCTGATATACAAAATAAAGCCAAACTTCATGAAAAGTCAGCAAGTAGCAGGCCAGGGGCAAATGTCCAGAAGCCACAGGGTTAGCCCCTTAGGGTGCCGCTGCCACGTCTGTTAAAGAACGGGGCATTCAGCAAAATTCCAGGATCCGGAGTTCTCAAGTTCTGGGGCCCCCCCTGTCTGGCGCTTCCATGCAGCAGAGAGGGGTTGCTCCCTTTCCAGAGAGAATCCTGATGGGGAGAGATACTGGCAGTGGCCCAGGATCCAGACATTTAAGCGTGTCCTATTTTCCATCCACGTCTCCCCTCTGCATCTCTCAGGCGTCCCTCCTCAGTGTCCCCACCCGCCTCTTTCTTTTCTGGAAGGATGCACACAGGCCTGTGCAGGGGGGCACTGAGTCTTCTTTGGCTGGGACTCTTGTCCACAGACCACTGCCATCTGCCAACTTTGTGGCTTCTGGTTACTTTTCCTTCTGCCTAAATCACCTGCTGAGTTTTCTGATACTTCTGGACCGCATGGATCCAGGTTCACATCTCTCAGGAGCTCTGCCTGCCGCAGTGGGCTTGGGGGTCATTTAATCACAATCTTTTACCTCATGGGCTGCCAGAGTCAGGGCTGGCTGTGCAGCCTGGACTTGGATGGCTAACAAGTTTCTTAAGAAAGGCCCACCTTCCGACAACGTCGGGCGCATGGGGTCCCCAGCTGATCTCCTCCCTCCCTGCCTTCCTCGGATGGCGGCTGTTTATGCTGGACGTGTGGCCAGAGACGGGTAAGGATCAC